AGTTAAGGAGTGAAATTGGGTCAGACATAGTGATGCACACTTGTAATCTCAGCTATTCAGCTACTTAGGATATATATATCCATTCATTCAAAAATATCTACTGCAAAAAAATTTTTTTATATTGGGGATTGAACTCAGGAGTGCTTAAGCCACTGAGCCCCAACCCCAACCCATTTTAAAATTTTTTATTTTGAGACAGGGCTTTCATAATTGCTGAAGCTGGCTTTCAATTTACAATCCTCCTGCCTCAGCCTCCTGAGTCACTGAGGTTACAGGTGTATACCACTGTGCCAGTCTACTTAACTATTTTTTGCAAATGACTCTATAAGGTACTAAAAATACAGTAGTAACACTGAACAAACATATCCCTGCCTTCATGAGCCTAACAGTGTAGTAGAGAAGAACAATATTTAAGTAAAAACTGCATAATTGTTATGTAAGATTGCTGAGCTGTGGTTATAGCTCAGTGGTAGAGTGTTTGCCTAGCATGTCAAGGCAATAGGTTTGATCCTCAGTACCACATAAAAATAAATAAAATAAAGGTATTGTGTCCATCTTTAAATTAAAGACTGTGGTAAGTCCTCTAAAGGAGAAGTATAGGGGACTATGAAAGAGCAAACCTAAATATAGTCAGGCTTTTAAATGTCTCCTGTATAGTCTCCTTTATAGAGACCTCTGTTTTCCCTTTTCCAATAAATCTCAGATCTTTTCTGAGAATTAGGAGAAGCAGTCTTACAAAAATAGTTAAGGGGTTTCTGGGATACTGCATTTTAAATGGACTTTCTCTAACTATTTGTCTTTGGTTTAGCTCCCTCTTTACCTGTACTCATTTTCAGAGATGCTTCCAATTCCTTGGTATTCTGAAGATTTTGCATGTAATCATTTTAGTGTATAGCATTTACCTATGGCTAATTTGGGTTCTATTTTCATGAGTCTGATAAGTATTTGCCACTTTTCCATGTTATCCTCCAAGTATTTTTTTAGTTGTAGATGGACACAATACCTTTATTTTATTTTGTTTTATTTTTATGTGGTGCCAGGGATCAAACCCAGTGCCCCATGCATGCTAGGCTAGTGCTGTATCACTGAGCCACAACCCCAGCCCTCAGTTTCTGTTCTCTTCTTCCTTGTATTCTTGTGGGCTTGGACCTTTTAACATCTTTTTTTGGTACTGGGGATTGAACCCAGGGGTGCTTTATCACTGAGCTACATATCCCAGCCTCTTTAAAATTTTATTTTATCTTGTTAAGTTGATTAGGGCCTTGCTTAAATAGCTGAGGCTGGCCTCAAACTTTTGGTCCTTCTTCTGCAGTATGATCAGAAGGCACATTCGATTAAATTGTTTAAGGAATTGTCTTTGGGTGATTAAAAAAATCCATGCACGTTCTAAAAAGAATGATGAGAACTTACTTCAACCACAGAGTTGCTGGAATTACAGGTGTGTGCCACCATACCTGGCTTAACATCTTTTTGTTGTCATGTTAGTGAGTTTTTCAAAGGAAGCAAAAGTTGCCTCATGTCTTTGTCCCTTCAAGTGAAAATAAGCTGGGCACAGTCCAAATCAGGAGAATCACTAAGTTGAGGCTAACATGGGTAACATAGCCAGACCTTGCCTCAAAAAAGAAAACACATGGAGCTGGGGATATAGCTCAGTTGGTAGAGTGCTTAACTTGAATGGGTCCCATCCCCAGCACCGCCAAACAAAACAACAACAACAACAACAACAACAACAACAAAAACCCCCACATTCTTTGTAGGAAACTTAATATATGGTCAAAAAGGGAATACATAAATTATAAAAATAGTGTCAGTTGCCAGCACCACAAAAACAAATACTGTGATAAAATTCCCAGCATAAGCCAGAGTTCTAAGTCATTGAGTATACTATCCACACTAATAAACTTCATACTTCTCTTGTTAGTTTGTCTTGTATAATAGGTATATCAACTAAGAACTAAGATGGGCAGAGGTGACCTTTAGCCTCCCATACATATGCATGTGACATATGCATACTGAAGTATTTGGGGGAAATTGTACTAATGTTTTCAACTTTGAAATGCTTCAAAAATAAGATTGAGGAAAAGATGGAGGGGTTGAGAGATGCTAAGGTTTTGATATGGCTTGAGTGTGTTCCTCCAAAGGTTCATGTGTTGGAAACTTGATCCCTAGCATGGTGGTCCTGAGAGGTGGTCTAATGGGAGGTGGTGTTAGTCAAATTTTCTATGAGAAAATATCTGAGGGGCTAGGGATGTAGCTCAGTGGTAGAGCACTTGCCTAGCATGCTTGAGGTCCTGGGTTCAATCCCAATACCACAAAAAAAACCCGATAGGCAGGTGTGATAGCTCACAACTGTAATCCCAGGGACTGAGGAGACTGAGGCAGGATGATTGCAAATTAAAGCCAGTCTCAGCAATTTAGCCAGACCCTGTCTTAGAATAAAAAGGGATGGGGTTGGGGCTTCAGCAATTTATGGAGACTGTCTCAAATAAAAATAAAATTAAAAAAAAGGGTTGGGATGTAGTTTAGTGGTAGAGCACCCCTTGGTTAAATCCTTACAAAAGGGGCTGGGGATGTGGCTCAAGTGGTAGCGCGCTCGCCTAGCATGCGTGCGGCCCGGGTTCGATCCTGAGCACCACATACCAACAAAGATGTTGTGTCCTCTGAGAACTAAAAAATAAATATTAAAAATTTAAAAAAAAAAAAAATCCTTACAAAAACAAGCAAAACAAAACACACTTTTTACCTATCCTCTGAGATACTACTCAAAATCACATCAAAGTAGCATTCTCCCTTAACTGCACTTAAGAAACACGGTTTAAGTATTGCTCAGGTTCTCTGGTAGTTTTTTTGTTGTGGTGGTGAAAGGTTAATAAAATAGGTACTTGTCACTCCATTTCTCTATATGCTTAACAAAACACTGTTGAAATCTTAAGAACTGTTTGCTAATCTTGTTCCCAGAATGAGCTGTCCCCAACTGCCAAACTACAAAATGTAACTTCTCTCCCTGCCCTCTCCAGGGAAAGCATATAAGCTCTGCTCAAGTTGTTCTCAGGGCTCTATCTCTCTTTGCTATAGAGAGCTCGGGCCCCAGCATGCTGGTCTCCAAATAAACCCACCCTTCTGCTTTTGCATAAGACAGTCTCTTGCGGTCTCTTACTCTGACGTTTCGCCGGACCCTTACAGTGGTTACATGGTAAGAGTCAAAGCAAATCTGGAGTATTGTAAACTTCCACCTTTTGGTACAGATAAAAATTCTGTGTCATCATCAATAGAAGATGGAAGTTAGCAAGGAAGAAAAAAATATCTGAAGGAGGAAATCATATCAAATGAAGCTGGTAAGAACCGTAGAACTCACCCCTTTCCCTGGCCTCATGCATAATGGACATTGGATAGAAACAGACAACAATGGGAACATCTGAGTGAGTCAGTATGGTTTCTTGGTAAGCCATGTTGTAATTCCTTATTAGTTTCAGATTGTGCTTACATACTTACTATATATACATTTTTTTCATTGTAGGGGACTAAAACCAGTGCCTTGTGCATGCTAGGGAAGGGTTCTACCACTGAGCCACATCCCTAGCCCTGCTTTGCACCTTTTTGCAGACTAAGGTCTTGGCCTATACACAAAGTAGTTTTGGGGCTGGGGTTGTGGCTTAGTGGTAGAGCGTGTGCCTTGTGTGTGTGAGGCACTGGGTTCGATCCTCAGCACCACATAAAAATAAATAAAGGTATTGTGTCCATCTACAACTAAAAAAATATTTTAAAAAAATCTGGCCCTCTCACACAAAGCAGTTTTTGTGATCTTTGCTCCAACCTACCTCTAAGCACTTCTATTCAATCTTTAAACTGCAGCAACAGGGGGTTGGGAGTATTGCTCAGTGGTAGAGTACTTGCTTAAACTGCACAATATTTTAATTACTGGTGGTTCATCTGCACTGTTTCCTAAATTTGAAATCCCATGCTTTCTCTTAAGATCCTGCTGCCCAAATTCCTAACTTCTAATTTCTAACTTTTTTTTTTTTTTTTTTTTTTTTTTTTTTTTTAAAGAGAGAGAGAGAGAGGGGAGAGAGAGAGAGAGAGAGAGAGAGAGAGAGAGAGAGAGAGAGAGAGAATTTTTTTTAATATTTATTTTTTAGTTCTCGGCGGACACAACATCTTTGTTGGTATGTGGTGCTGAGGATCGAACCCGGGCCGCACGCACGCCAGGCATGGCGCGCAACCGCTTGAGCCACATCCCCAGCCCCTAATTTCTAACTTTTAAAGCACACTTTAGGTATATCTGCTTATGAACTGCTTCCCCAGTCTACAGCATATGGTTCTGTAGTACATAACCTGTCAGAGCATACAGGTACTGCATTGTATTTATGTGTTTACAGGGATGTATTTCCCACCAAATCATGTTTCTGTGTTTGTTTTTCTTTTTTGCAGTATTGGGGATGGGCACCACCACACCTAGCTAAGCTGTTTCTTGAGGACATATCCAATAACTCACATATTTGAACTTCCTTGAGTTATATAGTACTAGGCAAGGCATGGCATTCAATGTTACTTGAACTAAATCAAAGGGTGAGGCCAGGTGTGGTGGCTAGGCCTGTAATCCCAGCCACTACAAAGGCTGAGGCAGTAAAGTTACAAATTTGAGGACATCTTTGGATATTTAGCAAGATCCTATCTCAAGATGAGCTTTTGAAAAGTTTGGGGATATAGCTCAGAGGGTTCAATCTGGGTACTACAAAACAAATAGAAAGGTGAGTGGGAGGTTGATGAATTGGTCATAAAAGGGAAATTATGTTGTTGCTGTGGGATTAAACCTGGGGCACCCTACAAGTGAGCTAATTAAAAGCTCTTTAAAAATTTCACTTGAGACAGGGTTTTGCTATTGTCCAGGCTGGCCTAGAACTTGCTATCCTTTTGCCTCCCATTGGGATTACAGCCATTCACCCCATGCCCGGCTGGAAAAGGGAATTTTGAATATGAAATCTTGTTGTTTGGGAGGACCTCCATAGCCTAACTGAGCTGTAGGTTCAGAGTAGTACCAGAGGTGAGTCATGGGATGGCAATGAGGTCATAAAATGAGGCTCAGGTTCAGTCATTAACAGTAACACGAGAAGGCAAAACTGAAAAGGAGAGGAAAGGGTGGCAGGTGTACAGTATCAGGCATTAGGGTGTGTGGGAATGGGCAGGTATTTGGTGCCAGGCCCCACTTCAACAGAAGCCGCAGGAGCTGCTGGGGAGATATGCTGCTTAGTAGCTAGGATCTGAAAGCTCACAATCACCTCCTACTATCAAAAAGTAAGGAGCCAGGCCACTTCCTCACAAGGTCAACTGCTCGTACACTTTCCCTTCATCTTACTTCACTCTCGAGAGCTCTTTTTAGACGACACAGTCAAGACAGACCGGCAGCTTGCGCAGCCTCCAGAAGGCCACCACCCTAAGAACCCTGGACCTCAAGTGATGGGGCGCTGACCTGAATTTCTTCTGAGACCAGAACTATGAGTTCAAAACCAGAGGGGGCTTAGCTCAGCCTGACCGAGGAGCCAGCCTCGGGGTCCGGTCCCCATCAAGTTCCCGGGGTAGGAAGGACTCCGCTCCGCCCTCCGAGAAGGCGCTTCCGGAAGGGGCGGGCTCTGCTCCGGGTCGCGGGGCGGCCGCCGCTATGGCTGCTCGAGGGGTCGTGGGCATTTTCTTGCTCTCTGCGCTCCCCCTTTTGTGTCTGGAGCTCCGGCGTGGGATCCCGGACTTAGGTAAGGTCGGCTTCCCCCGCGTGGCGCTCACAGCTGGGAAGTTTTCATGTGAATGTCGTGTAGAATGGCCTGGTTCCTGGCGCGGCGCCTCCGGGCGGCGGGGACTACGATTCCCAGACTGCCCCGCGCCCGGCCCCGTCGGCCCGAGCCGACTCCGGGTCCGACCGGGTTCCCTGCAGATGGGGCCAAGATTGGTGGGGGAGGGAGGGGACTAGAGGCGAGGCCTGAGGGGACAGAGCACTGTACACTCAGAACTCTGACGAGTGCTGGGAAGGACCCCAGCAGGTTGATAGGATGAAAGCTTTCTGAGGAATTTAAGTAGAGCTCTATTTATGTGGTGGAGAACCGTGAAAAGCCAGTGGGGGGGAGGGGGAGGGTATTCCAGGCCAAAGGATCATGGAACATCGGAGGAAAAAAGATGAAGGTCATTGTGGCGAGATCAAGGACTGGGGTTGGCCGTGGGAGTCTCAAGATAAAAATATTTGTTCAACCCCAATGATCAGCCAATCACGAAGTGCAGTCTGTTATCTGGTTGATTGCCCGAGTACCCTGAGCGTCTAAGCCCCCAGGGCACTGAGACCGGGAAGAGAAGTGACTTCTTGAAAAGGTCATTGTGGACTCTCGGTGGAGAATGTTTTGAAAGGAACCTACAGTTGAAAGCCGTGAGGCAGATTATCCTTGTATATCCCGTGATGATGGTCTGGACCAGGGTAACAGATTTGGAAAGATTTGGTATATTGACAAAGTAGAATCCACAGCTCTGTTGATGGATTGAAGTTTGGAGTGAGGGAAAGGAAGAATTCAAGCATGACTCCTGCCTAGGGGATTTGTAACAGGGATTTGTAATTTCTGAAAGTTGTCCTAGCAGGATTACTTTCACCTTCCCTTCCTAATCCTTTGGCATTACTTTCTTTTTTACCTGGAGTTCTAAACTCCAAGGATAATCCAAATTCTGAGGAGAGGCCTCACCTGAATACTTTTTTTTTTTTTTAAAGAGAGTGAGAGAGGGGGGAGAGAGAGAGAGAGAGAGAGAGAGAGAGAGAGAGAGAGAGAGAGAGAGAGAGAGAGAGAGAGAGAGAGAGAGAGAGAGAGAAAGAAAGAAAGAATTTTCAATATTTCATTTTTTTGGCAGACACAACATCTTTGTTGGTATGTGGTGCTGAGGATCGAACCCGGGGCCGCACGCATGCCAGGCAAGCCCGCTACCGCTTGAGCCACATCCCCAGCCCCTCACCTGAATACTTTATTTTGATTCAGAGAACTTTGATGGTCTTTGTAACACTCTTCCTTGGTAACTAACTGCAAGAGGTCAAAAATCCATTGTGATAAGGCTTTGACCCTTATTGAGGAAGGACCCACACAGCCTGTAGCCTCCCTGCTTCCTTATCTCACCATAACAACCCTTCACCCTCCTGAGCCCAGCATGTTAGAGATTGAAAGAGTTACCCCCTGTATCATCTTTAGGGCTGGCCTTGAATAAACCTGATTTCTTTCCTGCCAATGCTGGGCTACAGAACATGGGTCCAGACATTTGAATTTTGTTAGTAGTGCTGTTGGTGAAGAGAAAACTGGAAGGAAAATTGTAGGGGTGTGGAGGGTCAGGAATTGTTTTTTGTTTTTATAATTAGTTCACATGTCAGCCTCTCTTCTTACACTCAGATCATTATCCTTGTATATCTCCATTCTTTTTCAACACTTCCTCCTCTCCTCTAGAAGTCAGGGCCCAAAATGTTGCTTGAAATAAGAAGTGAAATAAAATACTTTTAAAAAATTTACAAGACTCTCCTTACTCAAGCTGTATTGAAAGATATCAAGACCTTTACACAGATGATATGCAGAGAAGTGAAATTTACACTCATCTTTTATTACAAAATTCACCTGCTTCCTTGCCTTTACAGCAGTCATTCCTCTATTCCTTCAGCATTTAGTTTTACTACTGAGCCATGTCCTGAGTTCTTTTAGTGTTTTATTTTAAGGAAGCTTATTAAATTGCCAAGGTTGGCCTCAAACTTGAGATCCTTCTGCCTTGGCCTCCTGAGTCACTGGGATTACAGGCATATGCTACCATGCCCGGCTCCTTTAGAATCTTTCTACTTCACCCTGATATTTAAATCACTAGTCAATGAGAAGGACACTGCTTAGCTTATCAAAGGAGACCTGTTCCCCCATCAGCTCTGATCTCTGGGAAATATACTTCTTGAGGGTAGCAACCACATCTAATTTGTTTTTGTATTCTCAGAATTTATTGTCTAAATTAATAAAGCTAGGTTAAGAGTTCCAGAAATTGCAAGTGGGCTCCTGGTAGAGCTCATAGTTCCTGAAATTTTTATTTGACTAACTTAATTAACACTTTTTCCTAGAATCCTTTGTTGTGAACTGGTAATTTCCTTTGGATTCTTTTTAAAAATTTTCTTTTACAGTGCTGGGGATTGAACCCTAGGATGCTCTACCACTGAGTTATATCCCCAACTTCCTACCAATACATTTTACTTGTACTTAAGCTAAATATTTTGAGACTGCTTCCTCAAATTTATTATCTTTCAAAGTGCCCTGCTTTTGGTTTCTAGAGTTTAGGTACCAAATAAACCTTTATTTAAACATTTTTAACTTGAAAGTAGTACACACAAATCTATTTTTTTTCATGTTCCTATGTGATATATCCATTTTGCTTCTATATTATGAAACATCCCACAACTCAATGATTTTTCTATGTAATAGTACTCTAGGTATTATATTGCTTTTGTAATGGCCAAAGATAACCCAGGTTTATTTATGTGTTCCATCAAACATCTGAATCAATAGTTACTACCCTCAAAAGTTGGAGGAGCTGTGATGTGAAAAGAAAAAAGATCTCTAAAACAATTTTAAATTGCAGTTTATAAAAGAAGGAATAACATCTGTTTTCTGTTAAAAATAAAACATTTAAGTCTATACATTTTTGTAATTCCTTTTTTAATCTTTAGTTAAGACAAACTATGAGCCCTGATCATGTTGGTATCATGGTTCATTCAAATCTCTGCCAGGTAACCTTTTTTTTTTTTTTTTGGTGTCAAGGATGAGCCTAGGGGTGTTTACCACTGAGCCATATCCCCAGCCCTCATTTATTTATTTATTAATATTTATTTAGTTGTAGATGAATATAAAGTATATTTATTTTCATGTGGTGCTGAGGATCCAACCTAGTGCCTCACACATGAAAGGCAAGCGCTTTACCACTGAGCTAAAGCCCCAGCCCTCCCTTTTTATTTTTTATTTTGAAATGGTCTTGCTAAGTTACATGGGGCCTTTCTAAATTACTGAGGATGGCCTTGAATTTGCAATCTTCCTTCCTTAGCCTCCTGAGCTGCTGGGATTACATGTGTGTGACACCATGTCCTAAAAGAATAACTATATTTAATAGAATTGGATGAGGTGATACTCTCATAGTTTGATTTCCAGTTATGTAAACGAATTTTTCCTCTTCTCTGGGTAGAAAGGAAAGCACGACTTATACATTATTGATTATTATGATATTTATAATATAGCTGATCACCATAATTATACCAGAAGATGTTTATCTAGAATTAGTTTCTGAAAACTTATTCTGGTAATGACAACCATGATGAATTTTAGTGCACAAAGGAGAATATTTGGAAGAAATCCTAAGACAGTTGCATAACTTAATTTTATTTTTATACAAATAATCTTCTGTTATTCTTACCAAGAAAAGTGTGTTTAATTTTAATTTTTGTTTCTTTAAAAGGAATTAAAGATCTCTTCATGCTGTGTGGCCGAGTTTTCTTGCTGCTTGCTCTCCTTACTTTAATTATTTCCATGGCTAACTCATTGATTAACTCATTTAAATCTTCCCAAGCTTATCTGAAAGGTAAGTTTATTTATGCTACCCTTTAAACTTTTCTATTCAACTTTCTTTACTTATTCTACAATATTACACAATAATAGCCAGTTTTCCATTAATTTGATTAATGTATAACTATATTGACGATTATTTTGTTTTGTTATTATTTTTTTGTTTTTTATTTATTTGAGAGAGCATCTCATTAAGTTGCTGAGGACTTTTCTGAGTTACTGAAGCTTGGCCTCCTGAGTTGGTGAGATTACAGGTGTATGCCATGGCATATGACCTTGATGATTATTTTGAATGGATTATAAATTCCAACATTTTAATGAGAAACTACATTTTCCTTATATATATTTTTGAAGCTCTGTCATTTTTAAGTTTGTTACATTCTAAATTCTCTAATTTTAAATTGTGCATTTGTGTTACTTAACTATTTGATACATACAATTTGTAAAACATTATACAATGAGTAGGTATATCTGCCATTAATCTCTAACACCCTTTCATCCTAATTTTTTATTGCAATTACAGCAGTTTTTCTTCAGGCACTTAGGTCCTGTATATAGTTGGGTGCTTAGGAAATCATGTTCATTCTATTTTTGTTTCTGTTTGGGCAAGTGAGAGTTTATGATTCTTTAAAAAATATTTATTTTTATTTTAGTTGTAGTTGGATACAGCACCTTTATTTCACTTATTTATTTTTGTTTGTGGTGCTGAGGATTGAACCCAGGGTTTCACATGTGTGAGGTGAGTGCTCTACTACTGAGCCCCAACCCCAGCCCTAGAGTTTATGATTTTTTTAAAAAATTTGTTCTAATTAGTTAAAAACACATGACAGCAGAACACATTTCAACTCATCGTACACAAATGGAGCACAACTTCTCATTTGGCTGTTAGGAGTCACACCGTTTGTACAATCATACATGTACATAGGGTAATAATGTCCCTCTCATTCCACCATGCTTCCCACCCCCACACCTCCTGCCCTCCCCTCATTCCCCTCTGCCTAATCCAAAGTTCCTCCATTCTTCCTTAGCCACTCCTCCCCCTCCCCCTCCTCCTTTATGGATCAGAATCTGCATGTCAGAGAAAACATTTGGCCTTTGGTGTTTTGAGATTGGCTTATTTCGTCTTCAGCTCTATCCATTTACCTGCAAATGCCATAATTTCATTCTTCTTTAAGGCTCAGTATTCCATTGTGTTTATTTACCACATTTTAAGAATTAATGATTTTCTATAGAAGCCTTTTAAAACCATATTGTGCCGGGCATGGTGGTGCATGCCCATAATCTCATCGGCTCAGGAGGCTGAGGCAGAAGGATCTAGAGTTCAAAGCCAGCCTCAGCAACAGGCACTAAGCAACTCAATGAGACCTTGTCTCTAAATAAAATACAAAAAATGGCTGGGATGTGGCTCAGTGGTTGAGTGCCCCTGAGTTCAATCCCCCGTACCCCGCTGTCTCGAGGAGGCAAAATTGCGATGTATGTAGTCGAGGGGAGAAAAAAAGAATGTCCATGTGCTTCTGCCCCTTTCAATGCTTTATTCACTCAAATTACTCAATACAATTTCACTCTATAGGTTCTTAATCAAGAAAACGACAATCCTTAATGCTAGGCACTGTTATCAATTGACAATTCACAGCTAACAATTCTAGATTAATTCTAAGCACTGCAAAACACACTTAATCATTACAGGCTAATGACAGATATTCCCTTTGCGGGCTAAGTTCAAATGTCAGATCAGAAGTCTTAAGCCTTAAGCTTTATGTCCAGTAGATGCACACTCACTCAGACCGCAGTGATCAGGTCCAGAACCAAGGCCAGCTTTTTCTGGCGTGGAGTGGACCACTGGTTGAGGAGAGGGTCTGGGGAGAAATTGTGGCTCTCACCAAGGTCCAGACAGGTGGTAGAATTTGAGAGCAGTGAGGATCACGCACGCACGCAGAGGATCAGGAGCGAGGGATGACAAGTGATGGGAATGTCGGGTCCTCATCAGGCTCTCCAGCTCGACTATATCCTTGTTTGGGCTCGCTGACTCCCTGTTCATTTGCTTTGTTTTTGACCCCCCTTTAAGTCCTTATTAGCTACCACTGGATTTCTCAGTGACATCATTTACCCTGGGGTCAGAAAAATCTGGTCTAGTGGTCTCCACCCTGATCTTCTTGCCTTTCCCTCTTATCAGCCTTCCTGGGGCTTCATCTATTTATCAGGGTGAGGGGAAGTAACTTGTTTGAGGCCTTTCTGGAGGGCTCTGTGGGTGTACCTGGTGAGACTGCAGGTTTCAAACCACAGTTTTTAAAATGGAGTTGCTTAGACTCAGGCCTAAGGCCATCCTCACACCTCCTCCCCCCAAAAAACACTCCAGTATTGTACTTGGCCTTAGAACAGATGAATCTTAAATTTTTTTTTATATTTTATCTTTTGGGGGGTGGTACTGGGGATTGAACCCAGGGCCTTGCACATGCTAGGTAAGTGCTCTACTACTGAGCTACATTTTATATGCAATTAGGAAAAAGGTCACCAGTAATGAATTTGGTACATTATTAAAAGTTGTTTATTTAAATGTAAATAAATAAGAAAATGAGCAGTGCTTAAATCAAAGCTTTTTGCATTATTCATGAAAAAATCCAGTGGTATATCCCTATAATCCCAGGGGCTTGGGAGGCTGAGGCAGAAGATCGAAAGTTTAAAACCAGTGTCAGCAATTTAGTGAAGCCTGGAGCAACTTGGTAAGAGCCTGTGTCTAAATAAAATGTAAAAAGTGCTGGAGATGTGGCTCAGTGCTTAAGGACTTCTGGGTTCAATTCCCGCTACCAAACAAGCATCCATTTGGTAATCCTTTTCAATCCAAACATAAGTGACAACACAGATGTTTCAGGGTTTCCCAGTCATAATTCCCCCCCCCCCCTTTGGAAGTTGTTTGGCTTCTTAAACTTAAAATGACTCAGTTGGATTTAAAAATTTATTTATTTATAGATTTTGAGAGTCTAACTAATTTGCCCAGGCTGGTCTCGAACTTCAGATGCTCCCATCTGAGATTCCTAAGTGGTAGAGTGCTTGCCTTGCATGTGTTGAGGCCCTGGGTTTAATTCCCTGTACTGCAAAAAAAGAAAAAAAAGAAAAGACAAACAAAAGAATCAAGCTACATACTTAAAAGGGAATTGGGAGTAGTGGCACATGCCTGTAATTCCAGCAACTCAGGAGGGTGAAGCAGGAAAATTGCAAGTTCAAGGCTATCCAGGCAATTTAACAAGACTTTGTCTCAAAATAAAAATTAAAAGCACTGGGGATGCAGCTCAGAGGTAGAGTGCCCCTGGATTCAATCCCTAGTACCAGAAGGAAAAAAAAGAGAGGAGCAAAAATATTTTTTCTTCTCATTCAGTGGAAAGTAACCTAATATTGGATCAGTCATTTTAAGAGCTGACAAGCACACATACCTTTAGGGACTTTTACTATCATGTTTAATGGCAACAGATGACACTTCATGCCTGAAGTGCAGCATTCTACACTTCACATTGCAGTAATGGGTTTCCATGCTGTGCCTCAGAGCTGCTGAAACCCTTTTGGGACCTGCAGAAGAAAACTCATGAAAATATTCTGGAAGCCTCTTTAGCAGAAACTATTACATACAATAATGCATAGTGGAGAATTGTTTCAGAACAGAGCCTTTAAGATTTTATGCAGATTTCTATATTTCCAAGTGTTTGCATGTACTTCATTTTCATTACTTGAAAAAATATAATTCGTTTTTCAAAGGCTACTTGTCTCTTCAAAAATGTTAAAATCTACAGACTGTTCCATGTGACTTATTGATACTTGGGAATTAAAAAGCATGTTTATGATTTTGATGTTTTAGAAGAAGAAGAGAAGAATGAGGAAAGACAAAAACTTGTGAGGAAAAAACAACAAGAGGCACAGGGTGAAAAGGTAAAACATAATTTCTAGAGAGTAAAATAACACTTATGCTTTGATGTTGTTAGTAGAAGTTTAAGAAAACACAAAAATTTGTGAGAAAACAAGAGGCACATTGAAAAGGTAAAGTGTCATTTTTAGAGAGTAAAACATTTTAGAAAACAAAAACATCTGGGGCATTTATAACTGAAGTCTGTTGCTTTCTGTGTTTTCTACTTAGATTTTTAAAAATTATATTCAGGGCAAATTAATGATTTTAAAGTTGATTTAAAAAATTTTTTTTAGTTATAGATGGACATTTATATATATATATGTTAATACTATATATAATACTAATATATATATATACCTTTATTTGTTTATTTTTATGTGGTGCTGGGGATCGAACCTAGTGCCTCACATATACTAGACAACCGCTCAAACACTGAGCCACAACTCCTGACCTTTTTTTTTAAATATGTATTTTTTAGTTTTAGGTGGACACTATATTTTATTTTTATGTGATCCTGAGGATCAAACCCAGTGCCTCATACATGATAAATGAGTGCTCTAGCACTGAGCCACAACCCCAGCCCAAAATTGATGATTTTTTTTTTTTAATATTTATTTTTTAGTTTTCCACGGACTCAACATCTTTGTTTGTATGTGCTGCTGAGGATCAAACCCAGGCAGCACGCATGAGTGTGCTACTGCTTGAGCCACATCCCCAGCCCAAAGTTGATGATTTTAAAGTGTACAGGTTCGTGATTTTAAGATTGATTATTTTAAAATGTATAATTTAGTAACCATTTTGGGGTACTGGAGATTGAACTCAGGGGCACTTGACTACTAAGCCACATCCCCAGCCATATTTTGTATTTTATTTAGAGACAGAGTATCACTGAGTTGCTGAGTGCGTTCTGTTGCTGAGGTTGGCTTTGAACTTTCGATCCTCCTGTATCTTTAACCATTGGGGTTAAATACAGGCACTACCATGCCCAGCTCAGTAATGTTTAGTATATTCACAGGGTTGTGCAGCTACTTAGTACCTCTCTAGTTCTAAAACAGTTTTATCACCTCAAGAAAACCCCTCAGCCCATTAAACACTTATACCCCATTACCCTCTCCTCCTATTCTCTAGCAACCACTAATCTGCTTTATGTTTGTATGGATTACCTGTTCTGGATATTTCCTATAATTATAACATGTTAACTTTTTCTGTGTGACTTCTTTAATTTAGCATAATATTTTACAGGTTCATTCATCCTGTAGCATCCTTTTGATGGTTGAATGATATTCTGTTGTATTGATGTACCAAAATTTGTTTGTTCACTCATTTGTTGATGAACATTTGCATTGTTTCTACTTTTTGTATAGGGAAAATTTTTTTTTTTTTAAGAAACATTTTGTTATTTATTTTTTTAGTTTTCAGTGGACACATCTTTATTTTTTTTATTTTTATGTGGTGCTGAGAATCAAACCCAGCACCCTGCTCATGCCAGGCAAGCGTGCTACCTCTTGAGCCATATCTCCAGCCCTGTTTTATTCTTTTACCATTGAATATGATGTTAGCTATGCGTGTTTTTAATTTTATTTATTTATTTATTGCTATGCAAGAGAACTTTATCATAGGAGAAAGTAAAGTAAAACTCAGAACAACTTTGTGGTTTTTTTTTTTAATGTTATTGTATTTTTTATACTTTTATTTATTTATGTGGTGCTGAGAATTGAACTCAGTGCCTCACACATGCTAGGCAAGTGCTTGACCACTACACTACAGCCCCAGCCCTTGCTATGGGTTTTTGTAAATTCTCTGTATTATATTGAGCAGATTTTCTTCTGTTCTTGATTTTTGAACATTGTGTATTGGATTTTGTCAATTTTTTTTTTTTTTTGTATTAGAGGTGGAACCTCTTATACAAACGATTTAAGCACATCTGTAGGCCTTAATTTTTTATTTTGAGACAGGGTTTCACTAAGTTGCTTAGGGCCTTGCTGAGGCTGGCTTTGCACTAAACTGCTGGAATTACAGGTGTAATCGAGCCTGGCTTAAACCATTTTTTTTTTCTTTAATTGAAATGAGCACTTGCTTTTCCTCTTTGATTCTATTAATGTGTATTATTATTACTATTATTATTTTTGGTACTGGGATTAAACCCAGTGGTGCTGTACCACTGAGCTATATCCCTGGCATTTTGTTTTGTTTTAAATTTATTTTTGAAACAGTGTTTCTAAATTTCTCAGGCTTGCCTTAATTTTTGTAATACTCCCACCTCAGCCTCCCAAGTCACTGGTATCACAGGTGCGTGACACCACTAGTTTGTTCTTTTATGGAGTAGCATTAACAGATTGATTTGAGATCCTGTGTGTGTGTGTGTGTGTGTGTGTGTGTGTGTGTGTGTGTGTGTGTAGCTGAGGATTGAGCCCAGGGTTTTGTGCACGCTAGGCAAGTGCTCTACCACTGAGCTACATTGCCCAGCCTCTTTCTTTTCTTTTTTTAAATTAGGTGTTTACAGCTAGCTTTTTTTTCTGGGCACTACTTCTGTCTTTACATTCTATTAGAGACTGGTTACCATAGCTTGAAATTGCATTTAGCATGTGATAAGTATCTTAAGTTATTTTTTTGACCTTGCTGTGTAAGGTAATCGCCAGTTTGATGACTGATTTTTGTGAAAGAAGATATGCCTGTGGACATTCACCTAAATATTAACCCTTTATAAGACCTTTGTATAAGGGTATTATTATTTTAATATCTACAGAACAGATATCTTTTTCTGTTTTTAGACTTTTTCTGTGCGGTGCTGGGGATGGAACCCTTATCCTAGGCAGGTGCTCTACCACTGAACTATACTCCCAACCCCAGATACTCCTTTTTTTTTTTTTTTTTTCAAACTTTAATTTTTTTTTTTTAGCTGTAGATGGACACAATACCTTTATTCTATTTGTTTTTATTTTTATGTGGTGCCAGGGATTGAACCCCATGCTTCACACATGTTAGGCAAGTGCTCCCTCTGAGCTACAACCCTGGCCCCCAGATACTCCTTTTTAAGTAAACAAAGGCTACAAATGGTTCCTCTTTACTTATTGAAGTGAGACCCTAGGAATTACTACATTTCTTTCCATCCTGACCTGCATTATTAACAGTGAAAGAGTCTTCCCTAGATCTTTTCTAAGAAGTTCTGTTATAAATACATAGTCTGTGATGTTTGATATTTTGACTTTATGATGATGTGAAAGCATTACACATTCAGTAGAACATAACTTTGAGTACCATGTAATCATTCTATATTTCACTTTCAACATGGTAGTCAATAAATCATTGACATATTCGACCCTTTATTAAAAAATAGGCTCTGTTTTAAAGGATTTTGCCCAAATGCAGGCTAATGTAGGGTTCTGATTACATTTTCCCCCCACCTAGTACTGAGGATTTAACCCAGGGCCTACCCTTGGGAGTGTTCTACTACTGAGCTCTGTACTTAGCCATTTTTTCAATTTTTTAATTTTATTTTTTTTTAGTTATAGCTGCGCAATATCTTTATTTTATTTATTTATTTTTATGTGGTGCTGAGGATTGAACCCGGTCTCTCACATTCAAGGCGAGCGCTCTACTGCTGAGTCACAACCCCAGCCCTCCTTAGCTCTTTTTATTTTTGAGATAGGGTCTTCCTAAGTTGCTAAGGTTGGCTTTGAATTTGTGATCCTCCTGCCTTGGCCTTGGAAGTAGCTACGATTACAGGTGTTACTGCTAGACCTGGCCTGGTCATGTTTAATGTAGGCTAGGTCAAGCTATGATGTTCTGTGGGTTAGTTGTATTAAATACATTTCAACTTAAAATATTTTCAGGCTGGGCATGATGGTGCATGCCTGTAACCCCAGCAACTCGGGAGGCTGGGGCAGAAGGATCACAAGTTCAAGGCCAGCAATTATAAAGAATAAAAGTAACAATAAATGTTGGCGAGAATGTCGGGGGGAAAGGTACACTCATGCACTGCTTGTGGGACTGCTGATTGGTGCAACCACTTTGGAAAGCAGTATGGAGAGTCTTTAGAAAACTTGGAATGGAACCATCATTTGATCCAGTTATCCCATTCCTTGGTTCATACCCAAAGGACTTAAAATCAGCATATTACAGTGACGCAGCCACATCAATGTTCGTAGCAGCTCAATTCACAATAGCCAAGTTACGGAACCAACAGTAGTGTCCTTCAACAGATGATTGGATTAAAAATGTGGTATATATACACAATGGAATATTACTCAGCCAAAAAAGAATGAAATGGCATTTACCAGTAAATGGATGGAAGTGGAGAACATCATGCTGAGTGAAATAAGCCAATCCCCCCAAAATAAAGGCTAATGTTCTCTCTGATATGTGGATGCTTATCCACAACAAGGGAGGGTGGGCAGGGAAAGAATAGAAGCTCATTGGACTAGATAAAGGAGAATGAAGGGAAGGGAGGAGTATGGGAATAGGGAAGACAATAGAACTAATTGGATGTAGCTTTCCTATTCTTATATATAAATACAGGACTAGTGTAATCCCACATCATGTACAACCACAAGAATAGGATCCTAATCAGAATAAGTTATACTCCATGTATGTATAATATGCCAAAATACAGCTACTGTCATGAATATCTCAAAAGAACAACAACAAAATAGTTCGAGGCCAGCTTCAGCAGCTCAGTGAGGCCCTAAACAACTTAGTGAGATCCTGACTCAAAATAAAAAGGACTTAGGATATGGCTCAGTGGTTAGGCAACACTGAATTCAGTCCTGAATACTAAACAAACAAACAAATAAATAAATAAATAAATGGATTATGGATTTAGCTCTTTGGTTAAAGCACCTCCAGGTTCAATTCTCAATACCCAAACAAAAGTTTTTCAACCTAACCTAGGTTTTTTATCAGGATGTACTTCAGTTGTAAGTCCAGGAGCATATATATATTTGAATTTCTGAAGTTTAATGTTATCTCTTTTGGAAATAATGTTAATTTCAAAGCTTTGCATGCTAATTAGTAACCATAATTCCTTCTGTATGCTAGCTGCATGCTGATTCCTAAATGTATCTATAATTCCCAAGACTATGTAAATTTGGATTCTATTGTTTGGCAAATGAGTCTAGAAACTTTATTCCTATGCTTTGTCTTTGGGCAGAGGAAGATTAATAAATCAGTGTCTCACAATATTATCTATGTACATGGTAAATTGCCCAGCCTGTGCAGACATGTCCCTAATAATATAATGAATTATTTTTAATATTTAATTTTTAGTTGTAGTTGGACACAGTACCTTTGTTTTATTTATTTTTATGTGGTGCTGAGGATCGAACCCAGGGCCTTGCATGTGTTAGTCGGGCACTCTACCCCGCTGAGCCACAACCCCAGCCCCTACAAGGAATTTTTTTAGATTTTTAAATTCTTAAATGTATGATTTTTTTTCTTTTCTGATACTTGAACTTGGTATATAGATAGCTTGACTTGATATATAAGATTATAGATTAAAAGTCATTGGTGTTTTGAAGTATTACATCATAATCCTCCAAATTTCATCTTCATTTTTGAGCCAGTGTTTATGATTAGTTTTGTGTCCCTTTCTAGAAATTTTTAGAATCTTTACTTTATCCTTGGGATTTTGAAATTTTACTGTGATTCCATTTGTTTATTTTATTTTGCATTTCAAATCCAGAAGGTCCTTACATAGGTACACGTGTCCTTTAGTTCTGTGAAATTTTCTTATATTAGTTCCTGCATAATTTCCTTTTTCCTCTTTTTTCTCTCTCTTTTTTCCTGAAGTTCCCATTAGGTAAAAGTGAAATTGAACCCAAGGTTGTTTTATCTTTTCTTCTTGATCTTTCTGGGAAATTCAGTTGATTATTTCAGCTGTCATAATGTTAATTTTCGGACTAATTATGCCCTGACCTTTCTTATTCTCTAATATCCTGTTTTTGTTACATATATGTAATATCTTGTCGTTTGATATGTATATTTTACAATGTTTTTCTTTTTCTTGCATACACTCTATTTCTCCAAGTTCCTTTTTTTCTATTTCAGTCTGTTTTTCAAATTGGAGACTTTACTTTAGTCATCTAGTAATACTGGACTCAGCTCCTTCATGTTTAATAATGATACACTAAAAAGCTAACTGATGGGCTGGGGTTGTGGCTCAAGGGTAGAGCGCTCACCTACCATGTGTGAGGCACTGGGTTTGATCCTCAGCATCACATAAAAATAAACATACTGTGTCCATCTATAACTAAAAAATAAATATTTTTTAAAAAGCTAACTGATGATTTCTTGGGTTTATGCATTTTAAAAAATTTATCAAGCTTTTCCTATAAGGTTTATGTTTTTTATGGTTTATAAGTTACACCTCAAAGGAAAAAAGAAGAAATAAGTTATACCTCAATAAAAAAAGAAAATAGGGGGCTGGGGTTATGGTTCAGCTGCAGAGTGCTTGCCTAGCACTTGGGAGGTCCTAGAGTAAAGGTCGGGCGAGCGTCGGAGGAAGAGACCACCAAGAGACTGTCTCATGCAACAGCAAGGGGTTTATTGGGGGTCCAGCATGCTGGGGCTCAGAGCTCACTTGAATAGAGCAAAGAGCCCTGAGAACAGCTTAAGCAGAGCTTATGTACTTTTCTTGGAGAGGGCAGGGAGGGAAGTTCATTGGTGGGTCAGGGCGAGTGGGCGGTTTGCCTGCCACCGAGTGAGGGAGTGCATTCTGCAGTTTGGCAGTTGGGGACAGCACATTCTGGGAACAAGATTAGCAAACAGTTCTCAAGATTTCAACAGTGTTTTGTTAAGCATACAGAAAAACGGAGTGACAAGTACATATTTTATTGACCTTTCACTAGGTTTCAGCCTCACTAACACATAAAAATAAGTAAAATAAAGGTATTGTGTCCAACTACAACTAAAAAATAAATATTAAAAAGAAAAAGAAAATAGGGCTGGGGATATGGCTCAGTTGGTAGAGTGCTTCTCTTGCATGCACAAGACCCTGAGTGCAATCCCCAGGACCAAAAAAAAAAAAAAAAAAATGCTTATTGGAAATTTTGTGTATATAGGCAGAGCTTGACAGAATATCCCTTGTCAGGCTTCACTGTAGGATGCTTGAGGAGGAACTTAGCTTCCTCAGCATCTCTTGTTACCTCCTTTGCAATTTACTTTCTCCAGAGAAGCCTCTTCCACTCTCCTGCCTCAGGGGTTAAAGCCTAAGGGTCAACAGTTTTGAGTCCAGTGAGGAAGTGACTCTCACCTTTCAGCATTTACGTTTTTAGTTTATTCTCAGTTGTACTCTTCACTTATGCTGTCCACTATGGGCTGGGATCAGTGATTACTCTCTCTGGTTTATTTTCACAAAGATTAAACCTTCCATCCCTGGCTGGCTGTAGTAGGGAAGTGAGTCTGGGGATATAGTAGGACTTTGTCTCCCCCCTCTTTTTTCCCTATTGCCTCAGGTGCAGCAAGTTGTAATAGTCATAATCTTCAGTTCATTACAAATTAATCATTTCATGCATGGCTTCCCCATCCCTCCCTATCTTTAGCTGTGACCTCACCCTGGACCTCTGCCAAGGGATCTGACATCTCTTCTTCCTGAGCTATTCTAGGGTCTGTGGAGAACACTGGCTTGCTTTCTTATTGTTGTCCTCCTGCGTAAGCTTTTCAGGTGTAGCTTTCTGACTCTTAAGTCAGTTACCTCTCCTCTACCTATCTTCGTAATAGTAGTGGTTTGGGGGTTATGGTGTTTGTTTGTTTTATCAGTGATGGAATTTGGCTATTTCTTTATTATTTCCATGGTGGTATTGGGGTGATTTCCAAAAGTTTTCAGTTTTGTTTTCTTTAGGCTTTTTTTTTTTTTTTTTGTGTGTGTGTGTGTGTGTGTGGTGTGGTATTGGGCATCAAACCCAGGACCTTGAGTATGCTAGGCAAGTGCCCTACCACTGAGCTACATCCCCAGTCCTCTTTAGGATTTTGGTTTTGCTGTGATGCTCAGGCTGGTCTCAAACTGATAGGGTCAAGGGATCCAAATAGCTGGGACTAAAGGCACCCCCATGCTTAGCTTCCAGTTCTTTCCATCCCCAAAATATTTTGTTTTACCATATCAGGGTATACATTTAACACTCTTCTGAATGAGTTCATGTCTTGTAGATCTGACAACATGAGAAGGCTTTGTGTCTTGAACAAACTGCTCAGACTTAGATCCTAGAAATTAGGGATAATACTCTGTGTTCTTTAGTACCCTTAGCTCCATGTATTTTTAAAAAAAATTTTTGGCATTGAAAACACAAAGACTTATATAAGTTCAATGTCACTTAAGTATAAAACATTTGTTTTTGCTTGCATTACATACAAATTGGAATTTTTAGAAAATGATGCTAAATGAGGTAAAATTGAATTAGTGTGAAAATTCAGTTTCCCCCTGGCTTTTATTTACAACTTTGTAGACAATATAAACTTTTAGGAACTTTTATGAATAGTAACAACACCTACTTTGTTTTCTCAAACAGGCCAGCAGATACATAGAGAATGTTTTAAAACCTCACCAGGAAATGAGATTGAAAAAACTGGAAGAGCACTTTTATCAAATGACGGGTGAAACCTGGAAGTTAAGCGGCGGTCACAAACTTGGGGTTAGAAAATATTCTCATTTTATATTAGAAGTCAATTATTATTATTATTTTTTTAATATTTATTTTTTAGTTCTTGGCGGACACAACATCTTTGTTTGTATGTGGTGCTGAGGATCGAACCTGGGCCACATGCATGCCAGGCGAGCACGCTACCACTTGAGCCATATCCCCAGCCCAGAAGTCAATTATTAATTGTTTTATTTTATATATTTTTTATAAATTGAAAATGTTAGGCTATTAGTACTATTTGTTTTTTCAAAGTCTTCATTAATAATGATTATATGTAGGTTTGTGGGTTGGTTTTTTTTGTGGGGGGGGCATTGCTGAGGATGGAAGCCAGAGTTTCATGCATACCAGGCAGGTACTACATCCCCAGCCCTGTGTATCGCTTGTGTTTTTGTTTTATTGTGTAAAGAAGAGTTTATTTAGTTCATAGTTCTGGAGGTTTAAGAACCATATCTGGTGAGGCCTTCTTGCTGGAAGAACCCCAAGGTGATGCAGAGTATCACATGACAAGAGTTAGAACCTATTATTTTTGGTTCCAGGGATTGAACCCAGGGATGCTTTACCACTGAACACATTCCCATTCTTTTTATTTATTTAATTTTGAAATAGAGTCTTATTAAGTTGCTGAGGCTGGCCTCAAACTTGCAGTCCATCTGCTTCCTGGGATTACAGGCGTGTGCATCACTAGGACTTGCTTTTTTATTTTGTTTGAATGTGAGTGAGGGGCACTTTACCACTAAGCCATATCCCTAGCCCTTTTTTATTTTTTATTTTGAGACGGTTTCACTAAGTTGTTTAGAATTTTACTAAGTTGTTGAGGCTAGTCTTGAATTTGAAATCCTCCTGCCTCAACCTCCTGAGTTGCTAGGATTATAGGTGTCGCCACTAAGGTGGCTCTCTATATATGAGTGTTTATTCATCATAATTGTGTATCAAGTGGTTAAGTGGTTTTGGTACCTAAAGAATGTAATCTTGGCAAAACTATTACAAGCTAGTCTTTGAGAAAAATATCGAATAAATTTCTATTTTGAAGAAAGTCTCATCTTTCCTCAAGTAAGATCTCTAAAGTGTTAAGTTTACATTATATTCATTATGTTTGGCTCAGTTTTAAAAGTCTAATTATCCTTTGTTTATTTTTTCCTTTGTCATTAAGGGGAGATTTTGTTATTTGCTAATCCAAGTTTATAATTTTAAGTTGGAGAAAAAAGAATATTCATAAAAAAATTGTAGAGTATCTGACCACAGATCTTATATGTAAGGCCCATAATGTTTACCTCAGAGTCAACTGGGATGTTTTTATTCATTTCATAATGACAAATATGTCATAACATAACCAAGGGTAGATTAATGTGAAAAATGGGCAACATAAAATGCAACTGTTCTATGTAGTGATTTCACTTGAGTTTGTCTTTTCTTCAGTTTTGTGGTTGATAGACATTGATAGGTTGATTTTATATATACACATATAGATGCACAAACACACTCACACAGACGTACGTTTATTTTTGAGATGGGGCCTGGCTATATTGCCTAGGCTGGTCTGGAACTCCTGTGCTCAAGCACTCCTCCTACCCTGCTTCCCAAGTAGCTGGGACTACTGGAGTGTACTGTCATGCCCAGCTATCTGATAGGTTGATTTTGGCCTGATCTGTCTCTCAGAAATGGTCACAAGATGAATTAGACATTCTGCCCCTTGTTTTTAGACTCTGTCTTCATTGGTAACACTGGTGTATATTTTAACCTGATTAGTAGAGACATCAGAAAGCCCTGGGCAGGTTAAACTGTTGGTGTGGTTATGAGTAAGGCCCCGAGGACTATCAAAGAACATGACAATCACAATGTGAGAGGGTCAAAATCTGTCAATTTTTAAAAATTAATTATATATGACAGTACAATGATCTTGACATCTCATACATTAAAATCTGTCAACTTTTAACATTGTAGCTTGCAGTGAGGCAGCCTGGGCTTGGCCATTTACTTGGCATTAAGATCCCTTGATTCTCTTTCCCCATGCTCCTTCCACCAAATTTTCTCTTTTTGTTTGCTTTGTTTTGGTACTGGAGATTGAGCTCAGGAGTGCTTTACCCAGCCCTTTTTATTTTTTATTTTGAGACAGGGTCTCATTAAGTTGCCCAGACTGGCCTTGAACTTGTCAGTTGCTGGGATTATAGGCGTGCATCACCACACCCAGCTAGCTTTCTTAGGAAGAAGGAAAGGGGATGAAACCCTACCAAATGATGAACATTTTAGACTAATAAAGAGAACTTTTTATCTTAGGTTAGTAGCTGTAGAAGGAAGGAATCATTGAACTAATGAGCATGTATTTGAGAACTCTACATTTATTTTGTTAACAGAACATTTTAATAGATAATATTGAAGAATAGTTTTCTGGAATAAAATTCTTTGCCTCTTAGAGTGATTAATTAAAATGGAAAGTCAAAGTTTGAGTTTCAAAACTAGAATATGTTTATATATAACCAGATACCAAGGCCACATTTTGGGTATAGAAGTCTTGCATGGTCACTTACAAACACATGTTTTATAGAGGCTGGGGTTGTAGCTCATGGGTAGAGCGTTCACCTCGAATGTGTGAGACCCTGGTTTGATCCTCAGAACCACATAAAAATAAATAAATAAATAAAATAAAGGTATTGTGCCCATCTATGACTAAAAACTAATTTTTTTAAAGGCATGTTTTTTATACATGTTCTATTTGCACGGTCTTTGAAGGCAAGTCCCTTGTACTGCCGTTTTCTTTTGCTGAAAAGGAGGAAAGGATATCATTCAGAATTTTTTCTTTTTTCCTATCCTACTGAGAAACTTGGGGATTAGTCAGAGAAGGAAAGGGTCCCCATCAGCTTTTTGTCTATCAGAGGGAATCCCAGAACTTTGATGGATAAGGGTTGTTTCTGGAAGATGTTAAGCCCCGTATTTTCTTGTTCAAGGACATATTGCTTTCATTTTCTGGGTGTAATAATATCTTAATATTTTTCTACTGAAATGCCATCAGAGTAAAAAAAATCATTGTGATTAGAATAGAATAAAATCAATACAAAGTCTCTTTAGAAATTGTATGTTGTTTTTTGAGCAGGGTGATGAAGAATTGGTGCTTGAAAACACAAGTCAGACATCTTTTGAAACAACCAACAGACAAGCTGCAAAGAGGCGGAACTTGCCCAAGATTCTAACCGAAGCTGAAGATTCGACATCTGCTGAACAGCCCTCCCAGAAACAGGTTTTTCGATTAACACCACTTACTGAATTGTATCAGTGCATGGGAGGAACAGGGTTCTCTGGGTGAGGTGGTATATTGGGGAAAGGTGAAGAATGTCTTAACCCAAATGGTGTCTCACCACCTCCTTTTAAAGTCAATCAGCTTCATTACAAATCACTTATCGCCAAGCACATGTGAGGCCCTGGGTTCAATCCTCAGTACCACAAAAAAATAAATAAAGATATTGTGTCCAACTAAAAAAAATAAATATTAAAAAAAATCACTTATCTTATTTAATATTAAGGTTCTGAACCAAACAGAAGAAAGCTGTAGGATAAATGATAACAGGTATAGAAAATACTTTTGTTCTCTTTGAGGAAGAAATTTGATTATGTAGAAAAGTAAAGTATAGTGTTTACACTGGGCACAGTGTTGGATGCCTGTCAGCTCCTTGGGAGGCTGAGCTAGGAGGATCACAAGTTCCAGGCTACTCTGGGGAACTTGGACCCTGCCTCAAAGTTAAACAAAACAAAACAAAAAATGGCTGGGGATATAGCTCAGTATGGGAGGGTCTGAGTTCAATACCTAGTACTGTTAAAAAAAAAAAAAAAAAAGAACAGATTGCATTTCTTAGAGTTTCCAACACCATGTTACTATTCCTGCAGTTGGCCATACTTTAAAGAAAAAAAAAAAAAAAAAAGGAAATAAGAAAGGGCCGATGATGTAGTTCAGTGGTAGAGCACTTGCTAGCATGTTTGAGAGCATGTTAGATCCCTAGTACTGCAAAAAAAAAAAAAAAAAGAAAGAAAGAAAACTAAATATATACAGCGTTTAAGTGAATCATTCCTGTTAGGTAGCTTAAGACATATTATGCCATGTTTTGTGAGTGGCCAACACCTATTACAGGTTGAGTATGCTCTTTTCTGAAATGCTTAGGGGATGGTGTTTTCAGATTTTTTATTCTGGAGTATTTGCATATACATAATGAGATCCTATCTGGGGATAAGTTGATACAGAGTGTATATGAAACACAGAATTCAATTGTGTTTCATATACACTCTATATCAACCTGTATTAACATGATAATATATAATTTTCCTGTCTGGCCTTCTTGGGAATGGGTTAGCAATCAGTCACTTGGTCCAGTTTTATTAAGCTTAGATGTGTCATGTTGAAAGGAACTTTTTTTTTTTTTTTTTTTTTTTAAGTAGGGATTGAACTCAGGGGCACTAAACCACTGAACCACATCCCCAGCCCTTTTCTGTATTTTATTTAGAGACAGGGTCTCACTGAGTTGCTTAGGACCTCGCTGAGTTTCTGAGGTTGCCTTTGAACTCTGGATCCTCCTGCCTCCCAAACTGCTGGGATTATAGGCATGTGTCACTGTGCCTGGCAAAAGGAAACTTTCTCATTGCAATTATTTTTTGCTTCTTGAAAATGTTTACATTTCTCTCCCTAATTCTTTAGGTTCCTGATTTACCTGAAGAACCTTCTGAAACAACTGAAGAAGTAAGCTTCTTGGAAAATTAAGTATATTTTCTGGTTCCTGTTTAATACTAAGTAAACATGTATGACTTACCTAAACCTGGATTTGGGGAGAAGACAGCAGAAGTGTTCATGGGATTGCACTGTAAAGAGGTCTTGTTCTGAGTTTGGGGTAATTTCAGATTCGGCAGCTGAATCCTGGTTTTGAAGCCTGCTTTTTTTCTGAGTTGTTTTATGGAGACTACCCACTGCCTCAGGCAGGGAATAGATAGATGGCTCTTCTAGAACTTTAAGTCAGCAAATGACCTGCTTACTAAAACAATCATGTTAGACAAATGGCTTCAAAGGTAGGTCTCCGTTAAAGAAGAGCGGATGAAGACTACAGCAAGTTGTATGTTTTAAGAATGGCTCACTGTTATGGGATCTGGGGTGCAATTGGCCCCCGCTGCACTGAGCGGCTTCTTCCCACCTGCTTTGTTACAGTGTGCACTGCCTTGCTGTCATTGGCCAGCATAGTTATAAGCACTTGTTCTAACACAGGGAGTGCATGTATCTTTGTTTTATTTTGGTACTGGGGATTGAAACTAGGGTTGCTTTACTGCTGAGCCACCTCCCCAGCCACCCTTTAAAACTTTTTTTTTCTATTTTTATTTTGAGTCAGGATCCTGCTGAGTTGCTTAGGGTTTTGAATTGCTGTAGCTGACCTCGAACTTGCAATCCTCCTGCCTCAGCCTCCCGAGTTTCTGGAATTACAGGTGTATATCACTGCTCTTGGCCGAGCATGTGTTATTTGGGCAATATGTTCAGAAAGAGAACTCTTCATAGCTTTCTATTTTTTTTAGTCTGGCAACTATTATATTCCTTGAAAATTATTAAGGACTTTTAATTCTGCCATTATGCCTGACAAATTCATGCTATGTTTGCCCTGATCTCTACTTCTCAAGCTTTGGGCTGGTATCCATGACAACCATTTAAAAACATAATAGTAATTAAATATAGTTTTGGGTTTTATAGGAAAGGCCTTTTTTGAATTTATCATGTCTTTCAAGCATGTGACATTATTCTTGTTGGATTATAGATATTGGTTGTCAGTGAAATCTCTTATAATTGTCCTTTTTATAGATACAAGGACAATGCTTTTCTTCAGATTCTCATGTTTGTGAGCTTTAAAAGGATTAAGAAGTATTAGAATATTTTTATTTTGTTAGAATCTTTTTTAGGGGAAGGGGGTACCAGGGATTGAACTCAGGAACACTCAACCACTGAGCCACATCCCTAGCCCTATTTTGTATTTTATTAGAGACAGAGTCTCACTGAATTGCTTAGAGCCTTCTTGTTGTGAGACTGGCTTTGAACTTGTGACCCTCCTGCCTCAGCCTCCTGAGCTGCTGGGATTATAGGCATGTACCACCATGCCTGGCTTTTCTTTTTCTTTCTTTCTTTCTCTCTCTCTCTCTCTCTCTCTCTCTCTCTCTTTTTTTTTTTTTTTTGCTAATCTGGGGAGTGAATCCTGAGGTGCTCTACCAATGAGCCACATCCCGAATGTTTTTTACTTTTTGAGACAGAGTGTTGAGAAGTTGTCCAGATTGGCCTCAAACTTGGATCTTCCTGCCTCAGCCTTCCTGAGTGGCCATGTACAGGCATGTACCACCGTGACCACCTTAGAATCATTGAGCAGAGCATGTAGTCTGTGCAGTTGCTACCTAGCATTTTTAAGAATTCAGTGCAAAAATCTTTATTTCCCCACTAACCATTTGCAATCTTGATATCTTTAAATGTCTTTTCTCATCTTTTAGTAATTGTATTCTCATGAACCTATCTTTTTTGTTAGTTTTTTTTTTTTTTTTTTGTGTGTGTGTGTGTGTGTGTGTGTTAGACCTAGATATGACCCTACTTGAGATCAACTTGGTTGTTTCTGGGTTTACTGGTCCCTTCAAATTTTCTCTGCCTCTGTTTCTCTCTATTGTAGCATTCCCCCTGCTCCCTGCCACTAGAATAATGAAAACAGACTGTAAGCATTATCATAAAAGTTAAAAACAAGAGAAATAAAGCAATCTATTTTGGGGCTGTGCCTCTCTAACCTACCTTCCACCCTATCTCTCTAATAAAACATTTTTAAAGTAAAAAGGCACATGTAGAGTGAGGAATGGGTTATACTACACTTACTAAAGATTTGAGGATGTTTGTTTTTGTAAATCATGCAGTCATATTGTTTCTGACTTTCTTAAAATGCTGTTTCCTATTTTGTCAACAGTTTTGATCTGGTATCATAATCATTACATGTCATTGCATACCATCGTACACATTAAGCTTGCTCCTGTAATACATCGCTCCTGACCTACATACTTTTATGAGTATATATGTAAAAAATATTTTCACTTTAAAAAAATTTTTTTTTTTTAGTTTTCAATGGATCTTTTGTTCTGTTTATTTATATGTGGTGCTGAGGGTTGAACCCAGATCCTCACACATTCCAGGCAAATGCTCTACCACTGAGTCACAACTCTAGTCCCCTCAAAAAAATTTTCTTTTTTTTTTTTTAACCTCTTTTTTTTTTATTGGTTGTTCACAACATTACAAAGCTCTTGACATATCATATTTCATACATTAGATTGAAGTGGGTTATGAACTCCCAATTTGTACCCCAAATGCAGATTGCAGAATCACATCGGTTACACATCCACAATTTTACATAATGCCCTATTAGTAACTGTTGTATTCTGCTACCTTTCCTATCCCCTACTATCACTTTTAAGAATACTGGAAATTATAAGTTTTAGGAAATTCTCTATTTCCTAATTAAAATTAGGCTTACTAAATGACATTACTTATAGAATAATCTTTATAATTCTATATTGTTAGGAAATGAGACTAACATTCATTTTAAAGAATATCAGAACTAGCTGGGTACAGTGGTGCACGCCTGTAATCCAGCAGCTCTGGAAGTTGAGGCAGGAAGATTTTGAGTTCAAAGCCAGCCTCAGTAATTTAGCGAGGCCCTAAGCAACTCAGTAAGACCCTGTCTCTAAATACAAAAGAAGGGCTGCGGATGTGGCTCAGTGGTTGAGTACTCCTGGGTTCATTCCCCAGTACCAAAAAACAAAAAATCAGAATTAGAGGAGGCTTTCTTTCTGTGTGTGTGTGTGTATTTGTTTTTTTCTGTATATGTTGTAGCTGACTTTATAATAATGAGCCACATGAGAAAATTCCTGTTAAAATGGAAACCTGCTTGGATTTAGGAGCAGACTAATAGAAGACTAACATAGATTTCTGATAGGAGAGGGAGGGATCTGAAAAACAATGTAATTTTTATTTAATTAGTACGCCCTGATTTGTTCAGTGCCTGTTATATATTTAGTATTATAGATATATCATTATAAAATATTAAGCTGGGTAGATTTTCAAAAAGGAGAAAATAATGGTGGTAGTTCACGATTCCCAATTGAAATATTTACCATGTTACTGTTCCACTTTTAAATTAAAAATAACCATAAAATTTGAAAATAATTTTATAAATCATCCTGTTATATTGCCACATTTTTATAGCAACTGTTTTATTGTATGCTATCTTATTTCATTTTAAGGAGTAGCAGGGAAACAATTTTAATTACTGCTGCTTTTCTTTTCAAGTACGAGGGATTAAATCCAGAGTCTCTTACATGCTAGGCAGGCGCTCTGACTGCTGAGCAACGTCCCCAGCTCAGTGGATGCATTTTCTAGCATGGGTCTCCTGAGATGGGGAGATGTGCTGCTCCTGCTCTAAAACCACATTTACACATAACATGATGCCCAGTAGCTCTCAGGACAGTTAATGATGCTGGTTACAAGAAAGGGTTTCCTGGCACTTTTGAGAAACCGGCAGGTACATAATGAACTTCAGTATAAGTTACTAATCATTGTCTTCTCTTTTTATGATGGCCTTTAATATACTAGCAGTTTCCAAGCTCTTTTTAACTGCCTAAGTGCTTTATTAAAGGGATGATCATAGAGGGAATTCAGTAGATGAAGAAAAGCTGGAGCTGCTCAAACACTCTCACTTACTTGGGAGGATGGACAGACAGTGTGTGGCCTATAGTATCAGAGTGTGCAGGCAACTTTTTGTTTCCTTCCAGGTAGTGTTTTCTTGTCTGTACATTGAGAAAGTGGCACTAGGTCTTCTTGGTTTGTTCGATTACTTTTCAAACAAGCTACAATCTTGGTAGTATTTGGCCAGAAAAAAGCACTTGGTCTCTGGTGTCCTCTTGGAAGGCTTTCACTTCCTCATTAGTAGAAAGATGTTTAGAAGAAACATTGTCAGTTTTAGAAGAATTGTTTTCATGTTTAGGGGGAAATTTATCTGGACCTTGATGTTGCAAATTCCTGCAAATCTCCATGTGGATTTTTATAATAACATGTGTTTCTTAGTAGTAATTTTGGAATCTTAAAGAGCTATGGATTTGATTTTTTAAAAATTAGAATTCTTATCTGAACATTTTTATTTCTCAGGTAGTTACTGTTGCTCTCCGATGTCTAGGTGGGAAAGTCCTGAGGAGAAGGTTTTTTAAGTCTTGGAGTTCACAGGTGAGGAGGATATTTGCATTATGAGGAATATTTTTCTTGAATTTGGCAAATATCAGGGGAGTTATCACACTGTCACCTGATATTCCCATCAGATAAGGATAAAGAACATTTGTAGGTACTCGACATTGGCAGATTTTGAGATATGTAGACATGGTAGGCTTCTTTGAATTGTGATCTCTGCATTCAATTTTTTTTGTATTATTTTTTTAGTTGTAGTTGGACACAGTACCTTAATTTTATTTATTTATTTTTATGTGGTGCTGAGGATCAAACCCAGGGCTTTGTACATGCTAGGCAAGCGCTCTACCCCTGAAACAAACCCCAGCCCCTCAATTTTTTTTTTTTTTTTTTTTTGTTTAACAATTTTTAGTTGTCGATGGCCCTTTATTTTTACTTACTTACTTATATGTGGTGCTGAGAATCAAACCCAGTGCTTCACACATACTAGGTAAGTGCTCTACCACTAAGCTACAACCCCAGCCCTCTGTATTAAAATTTTAAGTTATTCCTTTACTATAACTTTATTTTTATTTTGTTTTTTTGGAGGCCTTTTTGGCTGGGGATGAAACCCTGGGCTTCATGCTAGGCGTATGCTATACTAATATGCTACATCCCTTTGGTTTTGTTTTAGTACTAAGAATTGAAACCAGGGGCACTCTACCACTGAGCCACATCCCAGCCCTATTTTGTATTTTATTTAGAAACAGGGTCTCACTGAGTTGCTTAGTGCCTCACCTTTCCTGAGTCTGGCTCCCTATTTCAGCCTTCTGGCCTGTGGAATTACAGGCATACGTCACTGCGCCCAGCTAGTGCTTTTTAGTTTTGAGACAAGGACTCACTAAGTTGCTGAGGCTGGCTTTGAACTTGTGATCCTTCTGCCTCAGCTTCCAGAGTTGGTAGGATCACAGGCATGTGCCACTGTGCCTGGCTAAAATTTTATTCTTAACCTATTTATTGAATCCTCTTTCCATTCTATATGTATGAATGAGGCTTTCCTAACTTAAGTATCTCAGTTGTTAAATGCCATTAGTCCCTATACCTCTTCTGGAACAAAAGGTATTAGAAGTTATTCACATCTCAAAATTCATGAAATAAATTTCCTTTAAACTCTAGAAAGGAAATATCTTTGAAAATTCTTTTTTTTTTAAGATTTATTTTTGTTTTTAATACTTTTGTTTATTTATCTTTATGTGGTTCTGAGGATTGAACCCAGTGTCTCACACATGCGAGGGAAGCACTTCACCACTGAGCTACAACCCCAACCCTGAAAGTTCTGTATCATTACTCCTAAGGACATAATTTCACAGCGACATAACTATAAAATGTCATAGTGTTCTGGAGGACCATAAGTGTGTACAATATTCGATAATGTCTGAGCTTTTTATCTTCTAGGTCTTACTTGACTGGATGATGAAAATTGGGTACCATACATCCCTATATGGCCTTTCCACATCCTTTCCCAGAAGGCCACTAGAAGTGGAGCGAGATAGGTCACTGGCGGATATAGGAATAACCGTGGATACTGTACTTAATGTGGAAGAGAAAGAGCAGAGCAACTAGTAAAGAAATGAAAACTACCTGTTCTACTTAAAATCAGTTATGCCATGACCTTGACAGGACAATAAAGGATCCACGTTAAAATCATGCCATACCTTGATTGAGCTCAAGGCAGTGAACACTAATGTTGTTATCCATGGAAAAATAATTGACATAAAATTTAAAAAAGAATTGTTCTCTTTATATCATGATTTGTAGAATGTGCCATCTATAATGTACTGAATAAGGTAAAAAAATGTATATTATAAGGGACATAATAATTTATATTTTCCCACTTCATATCATTTCTCAGTATGTTAAAAACAGAGTTACGAAACATTGTGCTGTGAATGGATAATTATGAATGTAATGCATTCCACTATTGTCATGTATGTAAAGAAATTTTAAAAAATCAATTAAAAACTTAAAAAAAAAAAAAAAAAACCAGTCAGGAAGCCAGATGTGGTGGTGCCTGCCTGTAATTCCAGCAACTCGGGAGGATGGGCAGGAAGATTGCAAATTCAAGACCAGCCTAGCAGTTTAGTGAGGTGGTAAGCAACTTAGTGAGACCCTGTCTCTAAGTAAAAAATAAAAAGGCTAGTAATGTGGCTTAGAGGTTAAGCACTCCTGGGGGTTCAATCCCTGGTACCATTTTTGGCTGTGGGCCTAAGATACAAAGGGAAATCCCACTCAGAAGGCTTTGCTCCATCAGATCAGGTTTCACCAAAGCTCTAGATTCCCCAGACCCTTCTCTCAGCCTGCTGGGGAAGGTACTACAAGCATTATGACCATCAGTGCACTGGCCGACTTACTGTTTCTGGAGAAATGGAATCTAAGTCCATCTGCCTCTTGAAGTACTCAGGCAATGATTTATTACTGCTGAGAGAAGGGGAGATGCAAGGATTCTCTATCCTGGGAAGAGGGTTAACCACGAACATCAAACATAGGTCTACCATTGCTGGAGGTGGGATACAAAACTCGTCTCATACCAACTACAGAGCCAAAGCAGAGCTTGGCTGCCACAGGTAAGAGAAGCAAGAACGCTGACAAACACTTCCCTTCAGAAGTCAAAAGCACAAAGTTCCACCTAAGACTGAATTTGGACAGCAGAGAATCTTATCTGCTCTTACAAGCAGCCTATGCAGTGTATGCTGCTGGGGCAACTGGGTAAGAAATAAGAGTGTGGAGACAGATACCTCTATGATGCAGGTGTGCGGGGGAAGCTAGAAGCTGAAGGGGGAGCAGTAGCACCAGAGAACAACCTAGGACTCCAATACCTGCCCTCAGCACAAGGGAACCATTTGAAGCTATGGGCTCTGATTCTATAATGACAACTTTATATCTGGTGAAAATGTTTCACAAATGAACATGAAATAAATATTTTAAAGACATAAAAAAAATCTGAAGGAATCAATTGCCAGCAGATTATACTATTAAAAAACATTTTAAGTCCTATAGCAAAAGACAACAACCAGATGAAAGCAGATATCTACATTAAGGAATGAAAAGCATTGGAAAAAGTACATATTTTACATGAGCAAATATATGAAAGTTTTTTATTTTTAATCTCTTCAAAAGATAATTTTCAGGGTTGGAGGGTGTATTTCAGGGTTTGAGGGTTTATTTAGTGGCATGCATGAGGCCCAGTATTCAATCCCTACACCACAAAAAAGGAAAAAATACTGTTTGTGTTTTTTTGTGTGTGTGGTGTTGGTGCTGGGGATTGAACCCAGGGCCTTGTGCATGTGAGGCAAGCACTGTACCAACTGTACTATATCCCCAATCACAAATATGGGTTTTAGTATATGTAAATTCAAAATGTATGACAACAATGGCACTAAGTTGGGAGGTATACTATTAGAAGGTCTTGTGGACTGGTGTGATACCACTTAAAGGTAGACTATATTGTTAAAAAAAATATACTACAGAGCTGGGGCTGTAGCTCAGTGGTACAGTGCTTGCCTCACATGTGAGGCACTGGGTTTGATTAGCACCACATAGAAATAAAGATACTGTATTCATCTACAACTAAATAAATATTTTTTAAAACAAAAAATATATATGTGTGTGTGTGTGTGTGTATGTGTGTGTATGTGAGGCACTGGGTTTGATCAGCACCACATAGAAATAAAGATACTGTAGGGCTGGGGATGTGGCTCAAGCGGTAGCGCGCTCGCCTGGCATGCGTGCGGCCCGGGTTCGATCCTCAGCACCACATAC